AGATATGTACACCTGCAGGCAGTGTTTCCAACTCTCTAGCCCTTTGCCCAGACTCCTGGTGTGGTGCTGCAGGATAATGTGCTGGACTTTAAGGTAGGTCAGTTTGAGCTGCAAGGTCAGTGGTTCAAACCCACCAACCACTCCTTGGATGCCATATACAGACTCGATATGAGTCAGAATCAACTCAACAGCACATAACAACAACAGCAAATCCTTCCCCCAAAGAATTCTGGGCTCTTCAATTTGCAAATTAAAACTTCAGTTTTGGCATCCTTGCAGGATTAAAATCATGTTCCTTTTCAACATTCTTTGAGTTTGGGGAACAAAAGGAAGCCTGAAAGGGCAAGATCTGGACTGTAGGGTGGATAGGATAAGGTTTCCCAATGAAATTTTCATAGATCAGCCTTTGCTCCTCTGGAAGAATTAAAAGACGCACTGTCGTGATGGGAAAAAGATTCCTCAGCACAACCTCTCTTGCTTTGTTCACCAGCACAGTTTTCGATTTTCTTACAACTTCCTCATAATAAGCCCTCACGCCCATCTGTGTATTTCAAGAAAAATCTATCAAGATTACCTCTTTGGAAATTTTTTTTTTTTTCTAAGTCACCGTAACATTCTGAGCTGACTTCTTTCCTTAGAATTCTACTGGTCCAGGAGATTCCCGAGGAAGTCTTCACTGGTTTTGAAGGCACCTTATTAAGACTAAAACAAGTGCATAACTGAGAGAACTTATCTTGAGCCATCCACTGATCACAGAGACATGTTTAAATATGTTTTGTTTAGAATAAATCCACGCATATAGCCCTAGGAGCTATATTTTTTTTTTTTCTTTTTTTACTTATCTTCATTTATAATCGAAAAAATATCAAGACAAATACTTAAAGTGCATACAGGTTATTGTTTATTAATTATACCTCCAGTAACCTGTTTAAAAAAATGAAATGCACTCTCAGGGTAATCTCAGAGATGATACAAAGGAACAGATAAAATGCCAAAGAATAGCACAGTTACTCCTGAACACTGTTAACCTGTCAACGCTTAACACCTGTTTTCCCAGGTCACTTTCTCCATTTGGATTGACTCTCATTGCACGTTCACACTGGGTGTTCTTTTACACTTTCCAAAGAATTAAATTACTCCTTCATCATATGTTTTTTGAGTTCCCACTGTGTGCCTAAGTAAGATGTCTGAAAGAAAATGGAGAAGAAAGGTGACTAAGTCTACATTGTACAGAGTCTCATTTTCCAAGTCCAGGACTTTGATTTTTATGCTGTATACAGAAATGTTAATGGTGCCCAAATAGGGAAGTAAGCTGAACTAATCAGCTTTCATCAAAAGATGAAAACTGTGACATCAGGCAGGGTGGTGGGAAAGAAAATCAGTTGTGCTAAAAGACCTGCTCTTCTGTTAAGAATGAGTAAACCTTAGAGTTGAAACTGGTGAGAGAGCCCTCGCAGAATGACCCCACACTGACTGGCCTTAGCCAAGAACATCCTTGGACATGGAAAGTGCTCCCTAGAGGTCACTGTCATCTTGGAAATATCTAAGTAAAGCAAAGTCTCACCAAAAAGCTTCAGATTTGCCCGCCACTGTAGTCTGTTTGTTAATGCCCTTTAGCAAAGACCACTTAAACACCTTTAGATGACCAAGTTTGGTTTATAACTCATTGTGATTAAGAAAAGAACATACCTGGGAGGAACCATGGAAAGAATCTAGTATAGAATTTGGGCTTTGGTTGAGTGCTTTGAGAAAGGGATTTAAGGAAACAATGGATCCCTAGATGGCATAAATGCTTGACTAGAAGTTCGAACTCACCTGGAGATGCCTCAGAGGAAAGTCTAGTAATCTACTTCTAAAAGATCACAGCCTTAAAACTCCTACAGAGAAGTTCTACTCTGCACACACAGGGTCACCAAGAGTCTGCTTTAACCCCACAGCAAGTAACAGCAGCTAAGGAAGAAGAGGTTTGTTCCAGGTTGAATGCTGTCAGAAAGAGGGACAATTCTATGATTGGGTATCTCAAAAAATCTTACCTATTGAGATGGCAAAGTAGAATGATAATGAAGTTGCAATTAGTTTTTAAAACGTGGCACTCATTGTAACCATGAGAAGAGGATTTTGGTATTTTATGGGTGGCACAATGACCTTGTTTTTGTCTGTGCTTAGACAAAACCATGAAGTGGCTTGTTTTGTCTAATTTTGTCATGGTCTCAGAGTAGCAATGACTGAGGCTGATTTTCTGTGAGACTGTTTATGTTCAATAGGAGAATAATACGGTGTAGCTGTGGTGAGACTAGCTTGTAATAACATTAAGGTCTAGCTGTGAATGACAGATCAGTTCCAGATGTCAGGGGATGCTCTTGTTTTTTTCCTCCAAGTTTTTAAGATTTTTCATTGACCATATGAAAGATAATATAAGGGAACTTTGACGTTGAATTACTTGCTGAAAAATTAATCAAAGAATCAATAAATCAATTTTTGATATTTCATGCAACCATTAGAAGTATGGTGCTGTGGGTTAATGTGTTGGACTGCAAAGTCAGTTTGAACCACATGGTTGGCAGTTCAACCTCACAATTCACTCCTCAGAAACCCTATGCAGGGTAGTTATGGGTCAGAACTGACTCAATGGTCATTAAAAACAGCACCAACATTAGAAGTATAAGGAGTCCTGATGTGGCACTATAGGATAAGTACTGGACTGCTAACTGCAAGGTTGGCAGTTCAAACCCATCATCTGCTTCTTGGCAACCTTATACAGGGTCACTATGAGTCAGCTTCAACACAGTGACAGTGGGTTAGATTTGTTTTTTGTTTTTTTTATTAGAAATATGGTCAGAATTGACTCAATGGCAGTGAGTTTGGTTTGGTTTGGTTGGGTTTCTTAGAATTTTGACGTGAAGAAAATATATTATTTCAACTTTCAGAGGTTAAAACAAAAACAAAACTGAAATGAAGACAGGCCCCCAAGGGAAGTGAGTAATGAGCATGGAGCTGTCTCCTGACACTGTTCTCCTTTTAGAAGCAGTAAATGGATCCTCAAGAACCAGGAAACACAGGGCTTACTCCCTGGCAGTCTTTGCTTATAACCTTTCCATCCTTCAAGCAATCAAGAATCTTCATCACAACTGTATTTACCCCTTTGTTCCTCTCTGGTAATTGTCAAGAAGATGGTATCTTCTCTCCAAGAAAATAATAAGGAGGTTGTCTGAGAAGCTTCAGTTTGGGATTCCATTTCCTGACCCAGGTAATACAGTGGTGTACTGCGCAGACGCTATATTACAATATAGTTTCAGAATATACCACCCTTTATGCACTGCTGTGGTTGAATTTGCTGCCGCCATAAACATTCAACTAATATGAACAATTCCTACCCTCTTTCTAATCAAGCCCTGGCTTCCACTGCCATTATATCCTCAGCAATCTTCACAACAGATTTTAGAAGAAGGCATAATTATGCCCATTTGGTAGCTAAGAAAACATCTTCTTGTTATTAAGTGCCATCCAGTCACTTCTCACTCATAGCAACCTTGCATAGGGTTTCCGAGGAGCAGCTGGTGAGATTTGAACCGCCAATCTTGAGGTTCAAATCAACATTGTGATCCAGTGATTATCTTACAACACCACACCAGGACTCATGCATTTTCTATACCCTGGTGATATAGGAAGTACTTGTCTGCTAACTTGTAAACAGTTTGAACCCACCTGCTGCCACATAGTAGAAAGATGTGGCAGTATAGTTTGATAAAGATTTGCAACCCTGGAAATTTGTGTGTGTGTCAGTTCTTTCTCTCACATTGTGTATGGCACAGGAACTGGCTCACCTAGACACAGTGTATCCTAACCTTTCTGGATTGATTAATGTAATTAGTAAACAAAACAATGGCATTGTGGTGGTGGTTGTTAATCGACTGGATCCAAGCAACCTAACCATATAAAAACCAACATGAACATGCTGGTTCCGACGCATAGAGACCCTGTACAGGGTTTCTGAGGCTGTAAATCTTTATGGGAACAGAATGCCTCATCTTTCTCCTGCGGAACTGCTGGTAGTTTCGAACTGCTGACCTTGTGGATCGCAGCCCGATTCATAACCACTATGTTACCAGAGCTCCTTTAACATAAACATAGTTATACCCATAATCACTACTTCCTCTGACGCTGATTGACGGTGGCTCTATTAGCCCCTTTTTTGACAACTCCAGCTCAGACCTGTGGCAGGTGAACATTATTGCTTCTTTCTGTCTGGAAGAGCCACGTAATAAAAAGTGGGCAACAATACAGTCTGGTTCAAGTTGTTAGGTTCAGCATAAGATAGTGATAATACACCCAGAATAATTTTGTATTTTTCCTGTTTTCTAGAGTAGTTTTACAGAACTTTCATTAGTGAATGGTTTTACTCAAAGGTCTAGCTGCTTTCCAGTAAAGCATACACTGTTGCTGCTTGGAAGATAGATTGCAGAGGGGCAAAAGTGGAAGCAGAGCGTTCAGCTAGGATGCTAATTCAGAAGTTCAGGGGGGGGAAGAATGACAGATTAAATTGAAGGATGACAATGGAGACAGGTGAATGGATATGAGTCATATTTTGAAAACAGAATAACTCTTGTTGATGAATTACATATAAGGGAAAGAGATGTAGTAGACTAAACCAGTAAAAAAGAAAGTTCTTCAACGTGAACTAAACAACACAAGGCGCTAAAAGTATTTTGAGATGACAGCATAGTGATTACTTTGTCTTGCAAAATACCCTGACTGTGGGTGAATTTGCTGTAGCCATAGTATTCAACTGATACGAATATTTGGCTGAATTTGCTAATAGAATCCACCAAGACAATGTACTATATCCTACTTAAGTGAGTAGCAATTGGAATTTTAAAGCTTGTAGTCAGCGAAAATTCAATTATTCATATCTCCTTGGATGATTTAAATACATATTTGAATCTTCATATATCATCACTGTAATTCAGTATTTGCTGGTCTTTTTGCAGCTAACTCACAAGCACATGAAAATCTTCAACACCCCCAACAACTCTATCACTGGCTTCATCCTCTTGGGCTTCCCTTGTGCCAGGGAGGGTCAGGTCCTCCTCTTTGTGCTCTTCTCTATTGTCTACCTCCTGACCCTCATGGGAAATGGTTCTATCATCTGTGCTGTGCGCTGGGATCAAAGACTCCACACCCCAATGTACATCCTGCTCGCCAACTTCTCCTTCCTAGAGATCTGGTATGTCACCTCTACTGTCCCCAACATGTTGGCCAACTTCCTTTCTGAGACCAAGGTTATCTCTTTCTCTGGGTGCTTTCTGCAGTTCTATTTCTTCTTCTCCCTGGGTTCTACAGAATGTTTTTTCTTAGCAGTTATGGCATTTGATCGATATCTTGCTATCTGTCGGCCTCTACACTACCCAACCATTATGACTGGACATCTCTGCACCAATCTTGTGGCCAGCTGTTGGATACTTGGTTTCCTTTGGTTCCTAATTCCTATCATCATCATTTCTCAGATGTCCTTCTGTGGAACTAAGATTATAGATCACTTCTTGTGTGACCCAGGTCCTCTGTTAGCCCTCACTTGTACCAGAGACCCTGTAATAGAGTTGACTAGTTCTACCTTAAGTTCTCTACTTTTATTTATTCCCTTTCTCTTCATCATGGCATCGTATACACTGGTCCTGAGAGCTGTGTTGAAAGTTCCTTCAGCAGCTGGACGAAGAAAAGCTTTCTCTACCTGTGGATCCCATCTGGCTGTGGTTTCACTTTTCTATGGTTCAGTGATGGTCATGTATGTGAGTCCAACATCAGAGCATGAAGCTGGAATGCAGAAGATTGTGACCCTGTTTTACTCTGTTGTGACTCCACTCATAAACCCTGTGATATACAGTCTGAGAAACAAAGATATGAAACATGCAATGAAGAAATTACTGGGAACATAAAATTGAGTCTTAGTGAAGAGAACATTGGGACAGAGACTTTGTTAATGCTTCTTGGTTAAAAAGAAAACAAATTGCTATCATTCAAAAATTTATTTATATTTTTAAATGTTATATACCATGGAGTTTTTTATATTTCCTAGTATCTATTGGGCTACAAAGTTCTCAAGGACATACTCCAACTCATTAATTTTACAAGTAATAGAGCTATATATTGTACAATTTTATGTTTTACATTGTCATAACCTTAGGCAAAACCAAAAATTTTTATTACAAACTTTGACTTTGATCATCATCAAATTTTCTTTACTTTTCTAATTAAGCTTTCCTCCAAAACACTGCATGTTTTCATCAGTTATCATTGACAAAAGGTTAATAATGTATTAATTAAATAGAATCATCTTGAGATCAGTAAGATTAAAAACCATGAACACTACAGAAAAATACCAAATATCTTTAAAAAATAAAAAATGAAGGTTTTTAAGCATATGAAAAGACATTCTATTAGGAAGCACAAATAAAACTGTGATAAATATACCTCTTTTATTCTTTCAAATTGAAAATGCTAAAACACAAAGCTGGGGGGGAAATGGTAGTTTTATCCATTGCTCTCATTGTTGAGTGCTGTTGAGTCAGTTCCAACTCATAGTGACCCTTCTAGGGTTTCCGAGGAGTGGCTGGTTAGTTGGAACCTCTGACCTTGCAGTTCAAACCAACTTTGCAGTGCAGTACTTATCCTATATCACCATATCAAGACTCCTGTTGTTGTTGTTAAGTTCTATTGAGGTGGTTCTGACCCACAGTGACTCTGATTAGGGTTTCCAAGAAGCAGCTGGTGAGCTTGAAATGCAGACACTGTGATTCAAACAGACTTTGCAGACTAATTCAGACAGAGTTTACAGACCAGCGCATTAACCTACAGTACCACACCATGATTCCACCAGGACTCCTAGTAGAGAATAAACTAGTACAACATCCACAAAGGACATTTTCCAGTAACTATGAAAGCTTAGAGGGCAATCTCTAAGACCTAACAATTCATTCCAATTTTAGATATTTATTTGACTGATACAGTCACACATGAAAAAATAACATATGTACAAGAATATTCACTATAGCTGCTTCTAATATCAAGAGATTGGAATACTCTAAACTGCCATTAATTCAAGACTAGATTATGGCATTCTATTGAATGGAATATTCCATGAATTTTAAAATTGAGAGTATAGTACATGACTACTTATCTGAAACTATCTTCAAGATATATTGTTATATGAAAAGCAAGTTGAAAGAGAGTCAGATCTTTGGTTATATTTCATGTGAATAAAACTTATACAGATATGTATATATTTATATTTATAAATACATGATATATTTCATGGGGAATGAAGAAACTGGTAACAATGATTTCTTGAAGAAAAGAGAATCGGGTGTCTGAGGACAAAAAGAGAAGATTTATATTCAATGTATAAGCCTTTATATTTTTAAAATTATCTTTCCACTTGCATGAATTGCTTAACTCACCAAGTTTTTAGAAATAATCTTTAAAAGACTATTTTACTGTGAATTTAGGTCTCAGAAATATTTCCTCATAATTACTTGAATAACTAGAAAACTACAAAGAAGGCTGATAATTGACAGAAAATGAAGAAGAAATTTGACAACCCGTTGGTGTCATCTCACCAAACGCTTTTGTTCTGTTGGGATCAAGTAGAAAATGGCTTCCTCTTCTGGGAACATGTGGGAGTAAATAGAAATACGAAAAATAAAAACTGGCTATTTTTAATCATTGTTTCACCATCTTCCATTAATACATAGTCATTAAAAAACTTAGGCACATTCATAATGCTAGGCAGTGAGCCAAAGGTGGACTCATCTACATAAGTGAGCAAACACATTTCCTTTCCTTGTGGGGCCAATAAGCCAGTGGAAAATGGAGTGAAATGTGCTATAGAAAAATTATATGTAAAATTATAATCATAGTTTTTGTGGGAAAACAGAGCAAATAATAGCCAAGAGTTTTGAAGTGTGATAAAACATGGCAAGTTCTGACAAATGCATACATTATAATCATTTAATTATAATCTATTAATAAAGGAACTCTAGTAGGGTAGTGGTTATGAGTTGGGCTGCTAATCTCATGGTCAGCAGTTCAAAACTACCAGTGGTTCTGCAGGAGAAAGATGAGGTTTTGCTGCTCCAATAAAGATTTACAGCCTCAGAAACGTTATATAAGTTTTCTGTATCCGAACCAGCTTCACAGAACATAACCACTACCATCTATTAACAAGTACACCATAATATACAAAATGTCTGTGCTCATAGAATAAGTGACCACAGATCATCATGACTTAGAATTACCCACACAGAAATTTATTCTACAACAATGATACAAAGATTCCAGTTCATACAAGTACAGGTTTATTCCAAAATAAAATGTATTTAAACATGTCTCTGCAAACAGTGGGTGTCCACGGACAGGTTCTGTCAATAGCATATTTACCTTAGTCCAGGTGTTACACTGGACCTCAAGGTCGATTTGAACTACAAAGTCAGTGGTAAAAATCCACCAACCGCTCCTCAGAAACCCTATACAGAGTTGCTATGAGTCACAATCGACTCAATGACACTTAACAACTAACAGTATCGTTAGATTGCTTTTTTTATAAAAGTCCTAATTAAGCTTTCTAAGAAGTGTGCTGGGCCAGTTAAATTCAAGACAGAGACATCAATTCAGAATATCATAGCAACTGATTTGTGAGATTCAAAGAGATAGTCTTCACAAATATTTTTAATGACAAAAGATAATCATTTTTGTTGCTGTTGGTAAGTGCCATCTAGTCAGTTCCAACTTAGAGCACAACAGAATGATACATTGCCCAGTTCTGCACCATCCTCACAATTGTTACACTTTAGTTCCTTGCTATTTCCACGTCACCAGTACATCTTGTTGGGGGTCCTCCTCTCTTTCACTGACCCTTCACCTTCTCCAGGGACTAGTCCTTCCTAATAAAATGTCCAAAGTATGAGAGACAAAGTCTTGCCATCCTGGCTTGTAAGGTGTGTTCTGGCTGTACTTCTTCCAACATAGATTTGTTTGTTCTTATGGCAGTCTATGTGGTGGTGATTGGGGATTATGTTCCATGGTGTCGATTCCAATGCATAGTGACCCTGTATAGGGTTTCCGGGACTGTAAATCTTTAAGGGAGCAGAAAGCCTCATCTTTCTCCTGCAGAACAACTGGTAGTTTCTAACTTCTAACCTCCAGATTAGCAGCCCAACTCATAACCACTATGCCACCAGATCTCCTGGCAGTCCATACTACTTTTAATATTCTTCTCCAGCACCAAAAATTGAATGCATCTTCCTTAGTCATTGCCCAACTTTCACATGCATATGAGGCTATTGAAAATACCATGATTTGGGTCCGGTGCACCGTAGTCCTCAAGCTAATTTCTTTGTCCTTGAACACTGTGAAGAGGTCTTGTTCAGCAGATTCACCTAACGCAATGCATCATTTGATTTCTTGATTGGTGATTACATGAGTGTTGATAGTGGATTCATGCAAAATGAAGTCTAACAACTTCAATATTTTTTCCCATTTATCATGATGTTATCTATTGGCTCAATTGTGAGGATTTTTGTTTTCTTTACATTGAGGTGCGACCTATACTGAAGGCTGTGGTCTTTTATCTTCATCATTAAATATTTTAAGTCCTCTTCACTTTGAGAAAACAAGGTTGTATCATCTGAATACCACAGGTTGCTAATGAGTCTTCCTCCAATCCTGATGCCATGTTCTTCTTCTATAATCTAGTTTCTCAGATTTACTCAGCATACAGGTTGAATAAGAATGGTGAAAAAATATCAGAGAGGTGATCCAAAATAAGGCTGGGTGAACAGCTTTCCTGATTTTAAACCACTCAGTGTCTCCTTGTTCTCTTCAAACAACTGCCTCTTGGTCTATGTACAGCTTCCTTATGAGCATAATAAAGTGTTCTGGAATACCCATTTTTCACAATGTTATACATAGCTTGGAATGATCTGTACAGTCAAAAGCCTTTTCATAGTCAATAAAGCACAGGTAAAAATCTTTCTGGTATTTCTTGCAGATGGATCAGCCAACATCCATCTAACATCAGCCATGATATCCTTCATTCCACATCCTTGTCTAAATCCAGCTTGAACCTCTGGCAGTTCCCTGTCAATGTACTGTTACAGCCATGTTTTAATAATCTTTAACAAAGCTTTATTTGTATGTGCTATTAATGATATTGTCTGATAATTTCAACATTATGTTGGGTCACCTCTGTTTAGAATTGGCACAAATATGTATCTCTTCCAGTCAGTTGGCCAAGTAGCTTTCTTTCAAATTTCTTGACATAGATGAGTGAGGGCCTCCAATGCTTCCTCAGTTTGTTGAAAGATTTCAATTTGTATTCTATCAATTTCCAGAATCTTATTCTTTGCCAGTGCTTTCAATGTAGCTTGAACTTCTTCCTTCAGCACCACTGGCTTTTGATCATATACTACCTCTTGAAAGGGTTAAGCATCAGCCATCTCTTTTTGACACTGTATATTCCTTTCATCTTCTTTTGATGATTTCTGCATCACTCGATATTTTGCCCATTTGTTGTTGTTGTTAGGTGCCATCGAGTTGGTACTGACTCATAGCGACCCTAACCACAACAGAACAAAACACTGCCCGTTCCTTGGCCAACATCACAATTGTTCACGCTTTAGCCCATTGATGTTGCCACTTTGCCAGTCCATCTCACTGGGGGTCTCCCTCTTTTTCTCTGATCCTCCATCTTACCCAGCATGACATCCTTTTCTAGTGACTGTTCTCTCCTGACAATATGTCCGAAGTATGAGAGAAGAAGTTTGGCCATCCTGGCCTCCAAGGAGCACTCCGGCTGCTCTTCTTCCAAAACAGATCTATTGGTTCTTTTGGCAGCCCACGGCACTTTCAGTATTCTCCTCCAACACCATAACTCAAAAGCATCAATTCTTCTATGGTCTTCGTTATTCAATATCCAGCTTTTGCATGCATATGAGGTTATTGAAAATACCATGGCTTGGGTCAGGCCCACCTTAGTCCTCAAGCTGACATCTTTGCTCTTCAATACTTTAAAAAGGTCTTGTGCATCAGATTTGCCTAATGCAGTACACCATTTGATTTCTTGACTGCTGCTTCCATGAGTGCTGATAGTTGATCCAAGAAGAATAAAGTCCTTGACAATTTCAATCTTTTTTCTGTTGATAAGAATGTTGTTTATTGTTC